ATCTGTGAGACTATGGCAACGCCCTCAAATGCTTCCACGGTTCATGAGAGCCGGCTGCCTTGCATTCCCTCGCGAGATCAATCCTGCCCGATGCTTTTTTTTCCCTCCCTGTAACCCTATAATCAGAGCCATGATCATCCCATCGCGTCCTATGCAAACATCTTCTTTTTCTTCAACAGTTGCATCGCGGCGATCGTCATCAGAGCCCCTCCACTCGTTCTCTCAGTCAGTTGTCGATCATTTAAAAATGATTCATTGCCATATTTTTTCCCATTTTCTCTGTTATTACCGCAAGGGTTGCCCCCATCGTTGAGCTTTGTCAGCAATTATATTTATCGATTTTGGGTGCTAATCAGGGTTTTCCCACCGAATATGCAGTTCATTACTCGACGTCGTGGGAAATGCGAAAATCTCAAGATTATTCCCATACAAACCTCTCATAATCATTACCTCGGTCGCCACACACTTTCATGTTAGAGCAACTGAACGAATGCCAGTGGCTGGTCCAACTCCTAGCTCCTGAGCCTTTTCATTATTTTGATATTTGTAACTTTGCTTGCTAATCAACGAAGTCGTTAGCTGGAACTTCTTACCGACTTCTTACTTCCAAAAAAATCAAGTTGAGAATTTTTGCAAAAGAAGAACACCGGTCGTTCTACAAGTGATGAAACTTAAATCTTTCTTTCACTGTGCTTGCTATTTTTGTTCTGCCTATTTTTCGTTTGTTTTGATCCGTCTCGTCAACGCTCCGACGGTTTTTTGTCCCTTCAAGGAAACAACTGATGATAGCGGCCTTCAAATACTCCACCCTTCACCTTTGCTGTTGACATGTGAGCCACTCAAAGGCGCCTGGGGACTTGAGTACGACTTATGGAGGTCTCCCACAATCTCACATCTCAACATAATTTCAATAATTTTGCAAACATTCGGTTTATAGGAGATCTGCTCCACAAAAAAATCTGACTTGAGGCTTGGACCGTTGTGATGCCTCCTCCCATAGCACGACTCACCATCGGTGGAATTCTCCAAAGTGTTGGTGCAATGGGAGAGGGAGCAAGGGGGGAGGGGGGAGTCGTCTTTGATTGGTTGGAATTTTTTTTCTCCCTGTTGATTTTTTTTCCTTTCTCCCCCACCCCAATTGATCAGCGAGGTCGTGATTTCACTCTGTCTGATAGCTGATTAGATGTTTGTCTTCCGGCATGCTCCCTGCTCTCCGCATGCTGGGAAGGTCGTACTTTGAAGATTGCTCCCCATTGGGATGTGTGTCCTGACCCATGACTAATGTGGGCACTCAGTTGTGTTCATACTTTGCGACTCGAGTTAGTCAGGAATGTCGCAGCAGCGGCCGATCGCGTTCTAAGGCAGCGTCCAGACTTCGCGACGGCTGCGCTCGGATCGCGCGTTCGATGTGGTGCATGTAGTAGAAAGCATGCACATCGATCGCGCCGAACGCGCGGCCGAAGGTTTGCCGTCACGAAGTCTGAACGCTGCCTAACGCTGCTGGTCGAACTGGTTGGACTTTTCCAACATTTAGAAGAGTTTATATTCTGGAAGTCATTTATTCAGCAGCTTGCAGTGGTCCAGTGATCAGCGGTGGAACGACCTCTGAGTATGAACGGATACAAATAGCGAACCCGGCGGACAAGTTGAATGAACAGAACATTTCATAATGAGCATAGTCAAGTTCAGTTATGAACAGTAACAGAGGAAATGGAGGGTAAAGAATAGACTATGCGCTCACTGAATGCTTAGTCCCCCTTGAGAAGTTTAGCTAGTAAGAGGACTGAACCTTTTCCGCTGAAAAACATAATCTCATGACAGCATGACTTCCGAAGCGCCTCCAATCGATTTGGAAAGCAACATGCGTTCAATATGATGGCAGTCTATTTGATAGTGAGATGTCACTCTGTTTCCTAAGTATTCTAGAAGCGTGATCTCAGTAACCGTGTCCACAGCACTTTTGGCTCTCGAAGTCGAGATCATCAGAGCTTGTTCACCATTTTCGTCTGTATACGCATTAATGGTACAACACTTCTTACGAGATAGTAGGGCTAGTTTTGCCCTGATGTTGTTTGTTTCCTTGGATTGTTTTGTCCACGGTTCTTGAAGAATCAAATGGGTCCTGGGAAAAGGTACTGTTTGACGGGCTATCAATTCTTTTGTTTAGGTTTGCTTAATGCGTTCATTAGGCAGCGTTCAGACTTCGCGACGGCAGCGCTTCGGTCGCAGGGTACAGCATGGGGATGTGCGAAATGTCGGTGTGAGTACGACCCCCCCCCTTCGAATGGGGTCCAGGCACGACCCCCCTCCTCCGCCTCCACGGCTTCTTCGCCGACGGCCGAGCGATGAGTATATAGTCGGCGAAAAAGTTGTCGAGCGGGGGTATACAATTAACTATGCAACGTATATCCCACGGGCGTACAAAATGCATGCATATAGTGCATATAAAAAAATTACTACGACCCCCCTTTCCACAAGAAAAAATGAAAAAATCAACTATCAAAATAAAATTTGTCTTCCAAATACGACCCCCCCCCCTCCCCAGAGCAAAAGTACGACCCCCCCCCATGGGTTTGACACAACGATGCTGTACCCTGTTCGGTCGTTCTACGCGATCGATGCGCATGCTTTCGAGGAAAGAAAGCAGTTCATGTCGAAGATTTCTGTCTGAACAGTATGTAGAACAGCAAAGAGAAGTGGCACGATAATCCCTAGGACGAGTAGGATTAAGACGCCTGCAAGGACACAATTCGGCGGCCCTTAGCAGGCGCTGCAAGGCGCCTTTTTCGAAAAAGGTGCAGATATAGCGCCTTAACAAGCTGCAACACACCGACCCGCGCCCCCACCCCCTTCCCACCCACAAAGGTCCGACCGATGCGGACTCTCGTATTGCTCCATTTGTGGAGTACAGTATGAAGCGAAGGGAGTGATGTGGAGCGACTGCGATCAGAGACATATGAGGGTATTGGCACAATGCCAGCGGGGAACTCGTCCGAAATCGCTTTCTGAGTGTAAAGAACAAAGAGCTTCTGCAAGTTTTCGACCGTTTCACTTTTCGTCATTTTCCCTGCTGTCATTCAAGATCGAGTACCAAATTATAGTGCCTTCGTTTGAAGGGTTTGCGCTGTGTGCCGTCTGATTGCTGCGCTTTCATCTCTTCCCAAGAATCTCTCATAAACACGTACATTCCAGATCCCAGCGGTAGGGAAAGCGTAACTGCGTACCACTCGAGCCTGTTTCTCATGAGAATTGAGATTTCGAGACAACTATCATCCTGTCATGAGCTGGACGAAGATATGATCACATGTCTTACATTGGTAATATCCCGCCAAAAACGCGGTCACGCCGTACACAATTGTGCGCCACCAAGCCCACTGCATTCCTACGATATGTAGGGTATATTTTCCCAAGAATAGTTCCCTTTTAACTGTTGCCACTATCACCTGAAACAAGCCTTACAGAACTCCGGGCCAATTGACAGAACCGTCTCCCCATCAGTTGATAAAAGTAGTGGTTTGTACATCAATTGGCCCAGCAAGTTAGTCGTTGTATAGACTGAGTCGCATTGGAAAAAATCATACAGAAGCGGGATGGAGGTGGAGTGCGTGGCGCAACAACCACTAGATCGATGCCAGAAGGACTCTTCTTTTTCCTGCCCCCAGAACAATGGGGATGGCAATAAGGAAGAACATCGAGTGCATTCTCCAGTGTCGATTTACTAACGTGCGATTTTCAAATTTTTAATCCATCCGTTTCATCTCACCTTCTAGGCTTCGATTTCATCTCAACCTCTAGGCTTCGATAAAATTCAAAGCGAACGACTTTACTGGTATTGCAAAATGGTTTTTACGTGCATTTGTCGAACACAAATTAATCAAAAGCTCAACGAGAAGCACAACGTCGTTGAATTTCCTATTTTTCCTCGTTCTATTTTTATAAATTCCGCTTTTATGATTTCATTTCCTCCCTTCAAATATAACCAGTTTTTTTATGACTCTAACGAAATTCTCGAAGTTCTATTGCTGTTTCTCAGCGGTGCAATTGACCCCTTTATGAAGGTTCTCTTTCATCTATTTTCTTTTCAGAAATGGGTTCTGAACTTTATTCGTGCTGAACTGAAGATGCAAAATGTTACCACGGATAGCACTTTTGTTGGTGTTCATCAAAGAGATCTTTGCTGGATATGTTTCACAAAGCGGCGGCACATCTTCCCGAGGTTTGATCATCATTTGATTACTTCTATTACATTATCAGCTTACTAGTCTATTTAGCAGTTAGCCTTGCTGACCGACCGTTATCAAGCAGCTTTCCATTGAAGTGCTGTGGGCAAGTATAAAGTCAAGTAATGACGACTTACGGTCGTCTTCGCTGCAGATACTGGGATGTGTGAGCTGGTGAGGGGGACGGTGCAGGCTCTTTAGGCGCGGAGCCATCCCAATCTCCTCCGATCGTTGAAACGGGCAAGCGACTGCAACTGGTGGGAAACGGGCTAACGCCGCGCCAAACCCAGCCCTTCTGACACGCCCCGGCCTGTACATATTTCAGCGGTAGGCTCCACTGAGTCAAGCTAGCCGGGCTAGTGGGTCTACTGTTACACTTCCAGGGTCACCTTCCGCCTTCTCAGCTCCATTTTTTCCCGTGAGAAGAAAAGGAAGCGCTTAAAAAACAGGAGCTAAAAAACAAGAGATAAGCTCGGGTACGATCCTATTGATATCAGTCCCACATCATCACCCAGAAAGAGCTAATATCCGAAGGATGGATGTTTCTCGTCGAGCACCTTATGTTTTCTGATGTGCTCGTACTTCATGGGATTAGCTAGGTTTCCTAATCGCGTTCAGTTTATTGATGTCTTCCTGTGAAACCTTCCTAGGACTACGAAAACTTAGAAGAAGCCTTTCCAGTTCAATACGTTCAACGAGATTTGCACGCCTTCGTTGGTTTCAGCGTTTTTTCCTGATATGAGCAGCACTCCTGTACTCCTTGTAATTGAGCACTGGAGTACTCCTAATATCCGAAACTGCTGAATTAGCAAAATCGTCATTCTTTGAGTACCGCCTCCAATGGATCGTGCTCAGGGGGAGGGGGAGGGGGAGGGGATAGAAGGTGGTTTTCGGATCAATCTTTGAGTTTGAACAGAGTTTCGTACAGTGGTCTAGAGTTAAATGCATGTGCCCTTCATACCTTAGGCAGCGCAGCGTTCAGGGCTCGCGATGACGCGCCTCTACCACTACAGTACTCCCAAGAACCTTGACGTGAACGCAGCCATGTACGGGTTTCGATTAGCGCTGCCAGTGCTTTTGCGAGAGTATGGGAGAATAGGAAAGTGCGCGCTGCCCTATCACACAGCCTGATACCCTCTTCCTTCTATAGTTTCCCAAAACACTGGCGACCGTCGCTGTTTGATACGGTCTCAGGATATCTGTCAACCGCGGAGCCTTCCTCCTCCTTCCTTTTTCCTTCCTCCTTCCTTCTTTTTCTTCCTTCCTTCTCTCATCCTTCCCCCCTTATTTTTCCTTTCTCTAAATGCCCGACAGAAGATGCTATGAGCAAACACCTCTGCACCCTCACAGAGAGAGAGCACCCGGTTGACAGATGCCTTGTACCGTTTGATATCGGTCCATGGCTGTCTTCCCGCTTGTACAGTGGAAGCGCGCTGTAAAGGCGCGTGTCATCGCGAACCGCGAACCCTGAACACCGCCTTATTCCACTATGACCGATGATACTAAGGAAGTTATTCTTCAATAACAAGAGAAAAGGATGGGGAAGTTGTAGGTCTGCTCAAAGCGGGCAGTTTTGACAGCTTCTGCACCGAATGTTTAGCGATGGACAGTTTTTGGAATCCAATGTTGCAGTCCAGTCAAGTGCGTCAGGAAAAATAAATGATTTTTAAAGGTGGAAGTCGATGCTATAGCTGCATGTCGCGATATTACGGTGTCACCTGGCAGTTTGCCGGCTATTCAAGGATATATGTAGAGCCAAGGGCATTCACGGACTCCTGCCGGTACCTCTTTTTTTTCAGACTGTTATGAGGAAGAATTGTCGAATATTCCCTTAACTTCTCTTTAGGAATCCAATGACTCGAGGAGCTGATGTACCGTTCGCGTACTGCGGAGACGAGTCAAATTGTATTACTATGGTAGAAGACTTGAAAATAGGTAGGTTTTCAAGAATTTCGCGCTTCAAACTCGAGTTTTCCAATTCTGAGGATTTCGGGAACTCGTGCTGAGTCCAAGGGCACCCTCCGCCTCCTTGTAAAGGGAGTTCTACCTGGGCTCAAGCGCGCAGGTCCAGATATGTTTAGGCTGTATCACTCTCATCACCATAAACTGCGCGGTAAGTGTGCTGCGGACTTCCGATGGCCACAAACTCCACCCATTCGAGTAACCCATAGTCTTGTAATTACAACTGTAATCAGTTTTCTCCCCCTGCTATGACTACTGCCAGCATCCCTATCCGACTCGCTCGCCCAGTGCTGGAAACCAACCGGCTTTAATGGAGCATTCCTGGCTTCTTCCGTCCTTCGCTTAGGATTCTTTTTGCGAGTGCAAGTGCGGATGAGTAGAATTTTACTCGTCCGCTGCCGTAACCTGATCAGCTCTGCGTGGAGGACCAGCAACTAATCGAAAAATTTGAATCTTCTAATGGTGCCAATCCATCAGCTCTCTTTAAACCTCAGAAAGTCTCCGCAACTTTTCATTGTGACTTCCTTTTCCCTCCACATAAGCTCCTTTCAGAAACGCTTCAAGTGCTTTTCGGATCTTCAATATTTTTTTCAGCCCGGCTTGTGAGATTCATCTGGGGACATTCTCAGATATTTCTTGGAAGTAACCAAAGTATGGATGAGTATTGCAACCTTTAAAGGCAGTTGGCACGATAAATCCCAGAAGACGAGTAGGATGATACGCCTGGCAGGATAGAATTCCGCGACCCTGGGCAGGCGCTGCATAGCGGTTTCCCCGAGGAAGGTGCCCTTATAAGGGCCCTATCAAGCCACAACTTTACGTCCCAAACGCCCGCCACGCCCGCCCGCCCACAAATGGACGACCGTTCCTGACGCTCGTATTCATTCATTTGCTAAGCAAATTATGAAGCGAAGGGATTGGTATGAAGCGGCCGTGATGCTGCATGCATACATGGGTACACATATCACACAGTCACTGAGAACGGAGGCTTTTTCTTCGCAGGATTTTGACCGTTTCACTCCGTTCTTTCGCCATTTCCCCACTATACAGCGCCCTACTAGCATTTTAGGCTAAGTAGGAAATCCATCGTGCCAACTGCCTTCAAGTCATTTTTTTCAACTAGTCTTTCATGGTGAGGCGAAGCATCCTCTTTAGGCAGAAAAAGGTTGGTATCAGCTTGAAGTCAGTGGAGGCGATGATGCTGGCATAAATAAATACTAATGTATACGGTAACCAGCGAAGAATCACAGGCGTTCCTGAAACAATCAGCTGGAATATTTTCGTTTCAGTTTACGCGGTTGCCACCTGTTACAGACGTGTCTCGTCAAGATTCCTTGGCCAAAGTGACAAGGGTGGGCCGCCGAAAGTTCGTCGATTGACAAAGGGACGAAAAGTCGTGGCTGAAATTAGCTAGATCTAGAACAATTGAATTTCCTCGCCCTTCGGCATCGAGGACGGCCTGAAACGTCAAGATACTTGCGCTTATTTACGAAATCTGGCCAGGAATCCAGTAGTGATAAGCGGGATGAAAAACGGAAGCTAGAGTTGGGTGGCTATGAAGAGGAAGGTGGGCGAAGAATGTGAACTATGAATATTCAACGTCTCTCAATCTTCACCTTCTTATGTCCCGTTTGGGGCTCCAATACAGCGTTCTAAGTTGATATGATTCACAAGCATGGGTACATCGTACGTTCGGGATCTCCTGCGGGGGGGGGGGGGAGGAGGGCCGGTCGTGCTCGCCTTCGAGAAAATTCCCCGATCGTTGAATGGTTTTCTCCAAGTTTTTCTTTGGGGGGGGGACCAGTGAAGATTAAAAAAAACCTGGAAAACTACTAAGAACTTGGAAAATTGGAAAATTCACAAAGGTGGTAGCTAGAATGGGAAAAGCTGTTAACCAGATTAGGAAATTTGAAGAAGCGGCATGTTTTGCAAGAATCTTCCCCAACCTTGGGATGCGCCCTGTCCACAAGTGTAATTCCCTCTTATACGATGGCTAGCTATATGAAAGTATAGAAGTGAGACTGTTTACCAGCGGGCAACGGAGTTCGCTGTTAAGCTTATTTGGTCCAAGATTTGTGTCTTCTAGGGCACGTCGTACGTTGTGGTTCCCCAGCGAGGTAGGTCGTATTTGGCCCCTAGGGTTAGGGTCGTAATTGCTTCTGAGAAAAATGATATCGTTTACTGGCTTTTTTGGTTTCCTTGTTGCAAGTGCGCTCGCTATGTGCTCTCCCCCACCGCCCACCCGCTTGGAAGAAAAGTAGGTAATTTTGGAGCAAAAGACTTCGGAAAAATGGTAGGAAGTTGATAAATTTAGGGAGACAGCGAGAAGGAAGGGAAGTGTAGGTAGGGGGATTTCGAGGAAGGGAGGTTGTATTTTGCTAGGTTTTTCCCCTACGGTAGATTTCTACAAAGTAGGAATTCTGTTGAGGATCTCAAGCAAGGAAGGCTTCTGCGGGGTCGCTAAAAGGGAGGGGGGAAGGGGAAAGTCGTAGCTGCCTTTGAGAAAAATGATTTCGATTGTTGACTTTTCTGTTTTTACTGCCGCAGGTGCTCTCGTTCCCACCCGCTCCGTGGCAATTTCTTGGGAAAAATGGGGGATCCTTAGGAAAGAAAAACTTCAGAGAAGTGATTGGAAGTTGATGAAATTAGAAAGACCGCATGTAGGGGTCATGGATGTGTGGAGGTCGTACTCGTCGGGATTTCGAGGAGGCGGGGGGGGTCGTCTTCTGCTAGTTTGTTCCCCAGGAAGTGTCCTGGTGTCCACAGTTTCATTCTCCATTTTTTACGTAGAAATGAAAGTCTACCCGTTGGCTAGTATTATTCTGGATCTTCTTTCACTCGCTTCCTGTGCAATTCGTATTCTCCTGTAATGTGGTTTATCAAAGCCTACAAAAGCAGTATCCAAGCTAATGGCAAGTTCATTGCTCGCGTTGTCTCTAGTCAAGTCAAGAGGGGCAGTGGTGTCGTCTGACGAGCTGTTCGCACAGCACTTGACCTACATGTGTAGTGTAATGTCATCAGCCGTGTATCCATGTGATTGGGCAGCTTTCGTGAGCCCTTTGGATAGAATCAAGCTTGCCCATGTCGCATAATTCGCCGCATAACCATTATGGAGCGTAATTCTTGCGATTAGCAGGGAGATTCCGTCGTATTGAGTAATTCCGTTGCAAACTAGAAGTTCATCTGAAAAGGGAAATCTCACGACCTTGTTTGAGTTACATTCAAAAATACCTACAAGTTCATAAAAATTACGGAGTAACAGTAGCATCTTGAGAACTTGAACATGTTTTCATCCCTGGAATGATTGCCTCCGTAAAGAGCAAGTATGGAAGTGTAGGCGTCGAGATGATCCGAAATTTTTTAGTCGTTATCTCCCCCGAAAGCGGCGTCTTGGGACCTATTCATGCTTTCAAAATATGGAGCTCAGCCTCTAGAATAGCTTGGATCATCTCAGGGTTCGCTAGGCATCGTCAGCACTTATCAGTAAAGCCTAGAGACGGGGACCATGGGAACCCCGCAGATAAGCCTTTAACCTCATGGATGAGCACTAGAAACAGAATGGGTGGACACTTCTGGGCTCTTAAAGGGGAAGATTACGTCATGCTTATCTGAGCTCGATTTGATAAGGTCTACGTAAAAAAACCCAGGCGAAATGTTAAGTTCATTCAAAATCCGGCACTTTGGGTTCTAGGGGTAATTCGACCTCCTGAACACGAATATCACATCCGCTCCTCCCGAAACTGCCTGGCGCCCGCGCCACAGGCGCCGGCGCCAAAGTACCCTAGATCACCAAATCCGCTGAAAACTTGTGCCCAGGGGTAGTTCGACCTCCTGAACACGAATATCACATCCGCTCGGCCTGAAACCGCTCGGCGCCCGCGCCACAGGCGCCGGCGCCAAAATGCCCTAAATCACTGGCGCCTGTGGCGCGGGCGCCAGGCACTTTCAGGCCAAGTGGATGTGATATTCGTGTTCAGGAGGTCGAATTACCCCTAGAACCCAAATTTCAGCCAAATCTGCCCCCGTAGAAAAAAGTCGATCAAGATCCGGCCTGTTTTCGCAAAACTGGGGTAGTAATAGTTGAATAGTGCCCAAAATCCTCAAAAGCTTAGCAAATTCTAAGGTACCATTCGAAGAATCTGGGAGCAGTATCACATAATGACTGAAGAATCATGAATAGTGAAAATTTCGAGAACTGGGAAAGTTGAGGGCCGTTCAGTTGCCTTTTTATTCCTAACCGTGTACCCGAAGTGACCCTTTCTGGAACCACACCAGATGCTCCAGATGAGAACAGGATTTGGCGCAGATTGGCTTGGAGAGAGAAGAATTTATCACTTATGCCACTTCCCATTGTAGTATTCATTGCTTTACAAGAGTCGACATGTTTCCTTACATGAGTCTGTAGGAACTTTGGCTGGTATCACTTCACAGCTTAAAAAGATTTCAAAAAGCAGGAGGGGAGGGGTCGTATTGGGTCGCTGGAAGGAGGGCTCGTGATTGCCGTTGGAAAAAAAGGTTTTCGGCTTTTGACGTTTTTCGAATTTATCCTACACCAAATCCCATGCCCCTTCCTTCTTCCAGCAGTGTTTTTTTTCGCCAGAGAGCTGGAGGAAGTTTTAATTGGGAACTCCAAGAATATTTAGGAAGTTGGCAAAACATAGGGGGACTGTAGCTGTGGTGGAATATAGGGAAGGCAGGTAGTACCAGAATGGGAATTCTCGAGGTGAGTGTTCGTAAAATTTTGTGGAAAACTTCCCCCAACGCTAGAATTGACCATAATATGCCCTGTGCTTCCTTATTATTATATTTGGAAGAACCTCGAATAGTTTGATTCATAAATTAAAGGCGAAGCTCGCGATCATTCGCCATCACAGATAGTGGACTAGGAATTTGCATAAGGACGACAAGGTTCTGAGTAACTCGATAGCGAAGGAAAAAGCAGAAAAAACATGCCAACTGCCCTAAATAGGTCCTCATTACAGCACCAGTTTGAACGTGCCCAGTTACTTTCATTTTCAACACTGAGCCCTTATCCGCACAGCTGGTTCCCCGATAAGAACTCTACGACCGTACAAGTGACGATTTTCATGCTTTTTCGTCCTGCAGCTTCGTTTTTCACTGAAAGGCCGCCTTTAGTGCGGAGGGAGAGTCACTGGAAAGAAGGAGGCGTCACTGAACTTATATTCCGCTATAGCGCCCCTCCCTTAAATTTTTTGTCGCGAAACCGCTACAAGGTTGTTCCTCGCGGGCCACACTACCCTCCCGACGCCATATTTTCAACTTCTATACCTGATCGCGGACCGTACCTTTGAGTGATTGTACAACAAAGAATTAATGACATCATCTGTCCAAATCATTACAGGTACTGGTGCGAAAGGTTTCATCCGAGGTTGCTACTCGTCTGTCTTTCTTTCTGGATTCAATCGGACAGGATCAGCTGCCGCACTAGCAGCCCACACCTTTTGTCATACGTTCAACCTCACTCAACTTTTGAGCAGAGGTCAACCTCAGGAAAGCAGCATGAGGTTTGTTTACTTTCTAAAAGATGAAATTCGCTTTTTGACTGGAAGGCCAAAAAGGTCATACTCCTTTCACTTGAGATGGAGTCGGAGCAGTGCTGAACAATCATTGTTTCTCTAAGGACAGACCATGAAATAACACAATGGTCCTACCCACAATTTCTGGTGGGGAACCAATCCACAGAAATTTCATTACTCACCGGTTCCAGAGTAAATTAGCTAGGTACATCCAGTCAATACTCTTCAGGTGGAGATTATTCAGCAGAACCAACAATTTTGCCACCAGCTCATTTTCGCTGCTCGTAAAACTTTTCCCAAGTTGCACAGCAGGCCAGGAAGATTATAGGCTATTGAGCGTGTGCTCTCAAAGTGTTCGGTGGCATGGCGTGTTCACATTTCGTGGTTGTCAGGGTTATCCATTTCCCAAACGAGGCTTACGTGGGTTTTGACCCAGGGAAGTGTTACTAGGCAATTTCACAAAAGCATTTGAACAATGTGCGAGAAGGAACCTTATCAGAGGGAATTAGGAATCAGCCGCGCAATATTATTGATTATCATATTTAATACCATAAGCCTAGTTCCACGATACGTAGCCTGCAACGTCTTCAAACGGTCAGGTCCCGCGATTCAAACCAATGCGACCAGCTCGATAGCGGCAAGGTATGCTCTTTATCCCTGAGGGGTAGGCGTGCGCATCGAACATGGCACATAACGGGTTTACTCGTGGAATATTTCAGATTAGGACAACCGCCTTCGCGTTCTTTGTTGGACAGAGACGTGACCACATTTGGGTCAAAATGAAAATATCTCTCCAAAAGCATAGCCACCACGACGTTTAGTTGAAGTACGCAGCCACGCCTACCTCATCTCAGGGATTTCAAGTGTATGTCTGGGC